GTGAGCTGGGAAAGGTCGTGGACTTGTTGATCAGCTAGAAAAGTATCTCTTTTAAAATGGTGCTCCTGCACCTGTCTTTGCTCTTATCCACAGGGTTTCCAGCCCCCCACACGTCCCTTCCGACGCATGAACTATGCTGAAGCCATCGAGTGGCTGAAGGAACACGATGTGAAGAAGGAAGATGGCACTTACTATGAGTTTGGGGAGGTATGTCCTGCTGGGAGCTGGAGTAATGTCCTGTAGGAATGCAGCTGTGGCTTGGGATTTGACCTGATGTCCTTCAACATTGGGATAAAAACCTGTGCTGTCACCTGTCATCAATTCCCTGGCCACACTTCTCCAGCATGTGAGATGGTTGTTTGAAGGAGCTCAGGAGAACTTGACAGCATAGCCAGGATTTTTTCCCCCTCAGTTTTCTGTCTCGTATATTGGGGAGACTTAGGTTCCAATTGAACAGATTTTTTTTTTCCCAGACATGTGTCTGGGAATAACGTATGTCTAAAATTTAGACGTGTGTCTACAATAAGTTTGTTTTAAGAATTTAGGTACATTAGGATGAAAGGGTGGACATGTGCAGTCTGAAACAGTCTCCTTTCATGCCCACTTCACGTGGGACTTGTGTATGGGCGTAGTTCTGGTGCTGAACGTGAACAAAGCCCGCTCTAACCGTAGGACATTCCCGAAGCTCCCGAGAGACTGATGACAGACACCATTAACGAGCCCATCCTGCTGTGCCGCTTCCCTGCGGAGATCAAGTCCTTCTACATGCAGCGCTGCAGCGACGACTCGCGCCTCACCGAGTCCGTGAGTCCTTTTACCTGCTGGGGTAGCTCGGAGCAGTGGGGACGTGTGAGGGCAGGAGTGCTCCAGGAAGCTCCTTGGAGAGCCCTTGCCGGGTTTTGTTGGGGTGCCGTGGCACGGCTGTCTCGGGCAGTACCTGCTCCCCTGTGCAGCGGCGTTGCTGTAAGGGGCCGTGCTGTGGTGCGCTGCAGGTGGACGTGCTGATGCCCAACGTGGGCGAGATCGTCGGCGGTTCCATGCGCATTTGGGACAGCGAGGAGCTGCTCGAGGGCTACAAGAGAGAGGGCATCGATCCCACGCCCTACTACTGGTACACGGATCAGGTCAGTACAGCGCCTGCGCTGGCTCGCACGGGAGCCGGGGCTTCTCCCCTCGGAGGGCGCTTGGCCGCTTTGTTTCTGTGGTGTTACTGCAACTACAAATTACTGGAAAATGTGTGATATCCCCTCCCTGGATTTCACAGAGAAAATACGGTACGTGCCCTCACGGAGGATACGGTTTGGGATTGGAGCGGTTCCTGACCTGGATTCTGAACAGACACCATATCCGAGATGTCTGTCTCTATCCGCGCTTTGTCCAGCGCTGCAAACCTTAGCCAACCTTGGGAAAAACTCCTGGAAAACTGGGCAGCTGATGCTTGGGAAAGAATGATACACACTGCAGTACTACAGTCTGTGTGACAACAACACTTCCTGCAACCTGTTGCTAATTCAAATACCTGTTTAGGATGTGAAAAGGAAAAAAACCAAAACCTCTTTTTTAAAACAAAATACTAGTAATTAACTGGAGAAAGCCTTAGAAAAATTGTTTAGGTGCATTTATGCTCTTGAGTCATCACAAAACAAAGATCCTGATAAGTTGTCATTTAGAAAACAGGATACACTTCTGCTTTTAATTTCTGTGACTTAAAATATGCTGGGCATTTGATCATTTTATTTTGAAATTTGCTTTAATTTTAATCTCTTTTCTCTTGGGGTTTCTTGTTGGGGAAGTCAGGAGTTCAAGATCTTGAAATTCCCTAAGAGTGCCCTGTGAGAATGGTATGGAGAGGCACGAACAAAGGATAAAAATGGGAATAAGTATCTTGAGCACTGCACGTTTTTAGTTCCTGCTGATTTTAACGGGGGTTCTCTGGGTTGATGCAGTAGCAGGGTGTGTAGTACAGTGCACAGAGGCGGGTTGGGCGTGGGGCTTTGTGGGTTTTTCAGATTATTTATTGCTCAGCAGTGCTGAGGCTGGCGAGGCAGGCTTTGCTCCCTTTCCCTAGAGCTGTGGAAGGAGCTGCCGTGGGTCCGTGCACGCCCAGCCGGACGTGTCCGATGGCCCCTGGGCTGGGTTGTGGTGCCTTCTGCTCCCTGTCTGCCAGCAGAGGTGACTGACTGAGAGCCAGAGGAACAGTGACTGAAACACACTGGGTTTTCAGGCTGTAGTCCCAGCAGTGCTTTCCCGTGTCAGGTGTGCTCACAGAGCAGCTCCCTGTTCCCTTGTGCTACTGCAGCTGAGCAGCTTCCCTGCTGTAATGAACTTATCAAATAGGGATAATGAAATACTTCATGTGTTGAGTCATCAGTATCATTTCTAGTCATAAAGCAATTCCTTTACCAGAGAGAAAAAAGGTAGGTGCATCATTTGCCACCTGCACTGAAACTTGGGCTGGATTTGCCATTCACTCCTGGAATTGTTGAGCTGTGGATACCCACATTTTTGTAATAAGTGATTGGTTTTCTTCATCTTGCATGTTATATAAACTGGTCTAAATCAGCAACCAATAAATTATGGCAACAGAAGCTGGTGTGCAAGACAGTACTTCAATGCCTGTTCCTTTTACTGAGTCTGTGGAGCTTGCTGCTTGCTATAGTATGGACAAAAACCCACTTACCCAAGTGCAGTCAACATATCCCAAGAACTGGCATGAGCTTTTTTCCCATTTTAAACAAAATCCCCACTAATTAACTTAAAAGCATGAATTTTTCTAATTTGGAGGGACCACCTCAGCTGCCCAGTGAAATGTGCTGGAGAGAATCAGTGTGGTGCTGACTAACATCGCTGAGGCAGCAGTGCTGGGGCAGCAGCCTGGACTTCTGGCACCAGGTAAAGGCTTTATAAAATACTTTCCTTTTCGTGCCTGAAGTGATGGGAAGGCAGAAGTGTCAGGAAAAGGTGCTTCTAGAAAAACATCCCTTGTTTGGGATGAGTTCTCAGTCCTTAAACCTGACAGGGCTGAGCTGCTTTGTAAAGGTTAAAGGCCTCCTTATCAGGGGAGCTGCTAGAGGAAGGGCTGAGGACTTAAGAAGTGCTCATGGAAGAGGCAGATCAGATAAGGAGCTTAAAAGGTGACTGCATGAAAGATGCTGTGGAACTTACCAGAGACTGCTGTGCAATTCCCTCGGCAGCTGGTGGAGGGAGGTGGGGTGGGATGTGGGAAAGATGCTGCAGCTGCTTGGAACGCAAGAGAACCTGCATTTGTTTTTATCAGACAGGGAAACAAGCCTGTAGAAGAGAAGAAAATGTGTAATCAGAACTTGGATCTCTCCTCATCCTCACTTTCATTTTCCTTCACAGTGTCTCCAGAAAGTCAGATTGGTAATTGGATTAGGAACTGGTAAACTGGGCTGCCAGCACTGCTTTCAGGACCTCAGCCATGTCCCTGGCAGCTTTGGGATGACTATCCTTTAGCTTTGATTAGATTACCACTCCTGACATGCACTATTTTATATTTATCTGTGTTAAAGTTTGCCTGGCCCCGCTTTGTAAGGCACTTTTGAGGAGAACGTGGTGCTGCCAGCCTTTGGCACCGAGAGCTGGCTCTGCCCTTGACCTGCTGAGAGTGGAACGCAAGCCACCCACATGTGCAGGATAAGCGCTGTGGTGTTTGCTCCTTTGTGTTTAAATCGCAGTATCATTATCGTAGAATCATCAAGTCCAACCACCAACTTAACACTACCTCTGGAATACCTAAACCACTAAACCGCATCACCCAGTGCCAGATCCAGATGCTCTTTAAACACCTCCAGGGATGGTGACTCTACCCCCTCCCTGGACAACCCTTTCCAGTGCCTGAATTCCAGTGCCTCAGTTTCTGCCGGGAGTGGAGGTTAGCAGGTGAGCTCCGTGCTCCTGCACCAATGTGTCTGACGGGGCGCACAACCGAACCCTCATCTCTCACGAGGCGCCCGCTGAGAAAGCCCCCAGCATTTTTTACAACAACATTTTAAATCTCTTTTTAGAAGATTTTGCAGTTTTAAAACGTTTTGCAGTTTAAAGCGTCACTTCCAACCGGGGATCACTCTCCGTCATTCCGTAGGAGTCCGCAGGGGCTGCGGAGGGGAGCCGGGCAGCGCCGCTTGCGGGACACCCGCCCCAGGACCGCCCCTGTGCCGTGCGGTGCCGGGGCGGTGCCGGGGCGGTGCCGGGGGCGGTGTGAGGCGAGGGACGGCGGCGGGGCTGTCTGAGGGAATGCGGGCGGCCAAGATGGCTGCCGCTGCCGCCGCTGCCGGGCGTCACCGTGAGTGTGAGGGCGCCGCCGCGATGGCGGGAACGGGGCCCGGGGGCGGCGGGCGGCCTGAGGGCTGACCGGGCACCGCGGGCGCTGCGCGGGCGGGAGCGCCGCGGCATCGCCGGCACCGCGTTACACAACGCCCGAGAGGCGCCTTTCATAACGCTGACCGCGCTGGGGCGGCGGGGCCGTGCGGCCGGCGGGCTTACCGGGGCTGCGGGAGGGCTCGCCGGGGCTGCGCGCCGTGATGGCGGCTTCCCGCCACTGCGCTGAGGGGGCCGGGGGGCTGCGGGGTCTCCGCGGCCAGCGCGCAGGGCTGTGCCCGGCCGAGGCCAGCCCGTGGCCCTGCCGGGAGCGCGGCCGCTGTGCTGCGGGTCACATCTGCTGCCCTGGGCTGAGCCGCGCTTCCAGCCCTGCCGCTGTGCTGTACGGTCACATCTGCTGCCCTGGCCGAGCCGCGCTTCCAGCCCGGCCGGGAACCCTGCCGCTCCTGTGCTGCCCTATCTGCTGCCCTGGCCGAGCCGCGCTTCCAGCCCGGCCGGGAACCCTGCCGCTCCTGTACGGTCACATCTGCTGCCCTGGCCGGGCCGCGCTTCCAGCCCGGCCGCTGTGCTGTACTGTCATAGCTGCTGCCCTGGCCGAGCCGCGCTTCCAGCCCTGCCGCTCTCCTGTACGGTCACATCTGCTGCCCCCCGCGCTTCCAGCGAGCCCCTTGTTGCACGGCGTTGGTGCGGAGGTGCTGCCGGTGCCGCGGCTCGCCGTGAGCCGGGCGCGGGCAGGGCCAGCGCTGCCCTCCGCCGCTCAGCCCGGGCCTGCAGCGCTCGCTGCGTCCCCGCCCCGGGGCACCGCGAGCTTGCCCACCCCGGTGCTCGCCTTAGAGTTTGATGCCGTAGTGCCGCTTCTAAAACGCGTGCAAGGACGCTTTTATCAATGCTCCATCAAGCTGGGATCGTCCTCGTTGCACGTCTCGTTCTGCACTGTGTCCTTCGTGGTGCAGGTGCAAACGTGCATAAACCTCACCCTAAGTCAGACACTTGCAGGGTGTCCTGAGCTGGAAGGGACTCCTGGGCATTGATTCAGCTCCTGTCCCTGCACGGGACACCCCAGCAATCCCACCCTGTGCCTGAGAGCGTTATCCAGGTGCTCCTGGAGCTCTGGCAGCCTTGGGGCTGTGACCGTTCCCTGGGGAGCCTGGTGGGTGCCCAACCACCCTCTGTGCCAAGAACAGTGCAGAAGTATCAATGCAGCCACTGAAACTTCCCTTTTTATTGTTCTCTATAACTGGCATATGGTGCCAGCACCTCAGAAAGTAATAACCCAAGAATTGGAAGTAAAAAATGATTATTTGAAAAGGACCTTTCAGGCATCGGCGATGCTTGGAGTTCTTTAGTTTGCAGCCTTTTGTATCAGTGCAGCCGCAGGCATCCACAGCCACGCACTCGTAATCCCGAGCAAGGGGCTGGATTTGCGTTTTGTTGCCATTGATTTCAGCAGGTTTTGAGGCCGTTCAGCATCTGTTCAGGAGGCTATTAGAGAACTGTGAGCTGTAAGATGCTCTTCCCAGCGGGTGGGTCGGCTGCCGAGGAGCTCTGTGCTGTTGGGGCTCAATTGCTGCTGAGCTCCTGTGGTCTGACAGGGGAAATGTCTCACTGAGCAATTGCCAGAGAGACTGGGATGCAGAATTTAACCTCTTTTTTTTTTTTTCACCATGAGCAATTCACACTATTTCTGCGCTAAAAGAAAACCGTGTAATGACGATGAACTCCCGAGGAGAACGAAGTGTGCCTTTGAAAAGGCAGGCTGTAACCAGCATGGAGTTGTATGGAACTGTATGGAATGGGTTGGAAGGAACCTTAAGGATATCTAGTTGTGTTCAGCTGCAGGGTGCCTGACATAAGGATGTGGAGCTGCTGGAGCCAGTCCAGAGAGGCCACGGAAATGCTCCAGGGCTGGAGCCCCTCTGCTCTGGAGCCAGCCCCGGAGAGCTGGGGTGTTTAGCCTGGAGAAGAGAAGGATCCAGGGAGACCTCAGAGCCCTTTCCAGTGGCTAAAGGGGATCCAGGAGAGATGGAAAGGGAGGGGAATGTGTGCAGACTTATAAAATCCTGGGGTTTGTGTGATGCTGAAATCCAGATTAATGGGTAGTGAGAAAGAAGGTGGCCCATGTCTGCAGGTACACGGATTCTGGAGTTGCTGCTCGGTGTTCAAACAGGAGCAGGTGTCTAACCTACCTTGTGGACACGGTGTGGAAATCCTGTCCTGCCTGGGGTTAGCCAGGCGTGTCTGACCCACGAGGAGTGAGTGACACAGTCTGACGCTTATTCCTCAGGGTCAGCCCCTTGTTTCTGCTCTGTTGTCACCAGTTCTTTTGGAGTCGTGGTTGCAGCTCACAGGTTAGAATTCGGTTTGTGTTTTGGCGCTGCCTGGTACCTGCAGAGCTGTAAGAGCGGGGCGTTCAGAGAAAGGCAGGATCTTTGGTGTGCTGCCTTGCTGTGATTGCCGTGCTGCTGCCGGGCGCGGGCCGCGGGCAGCGGCTGAGCGCTGCCGTTCTCTCCGCAGTGCTGAGGAGCTGCAGCCAGCTGCGGGTGCCGCTGCGATGGAGAGGCCAGGCCCCGGCGGCCGCGGTGACCGAGAGCGCCAGGCCGCGGCTGCAGCCGCAGGAGCGGTGGGTGTGCGCTGTGTGTGCCCGTGTGATTGCCTATCTGCCACGGACACCCTGCTCCTGCACGGCTCTGCAGGGGCGTTCGTTATCGCCCCGCTTTGGTTCCTGCTTCCTGGGTTTCCTTCTGATACACACTCCAGAGAAAGGGAGTGGAAGTGAGGTCCCGAAACATTGGGGTGGGCCTGGGCTCCTCTCGGTGCCCTTTGGCTTTAACAAAAGGGCAAAGCTCCCTGTGCAACCTGACCCATCTGCTGGGGAAGTGAGGTCCTGGTCTGTGGGCTCCCTTGGGCAGGGGAAACATTTCCGTGGGGAAATTGGGTGAGAGTTGTGATCAGCAGCCATTCTGTAAATGCTGACACCACCATCTGTGCTGCTGTGTCATGTGGGACGTTACAACAGTGTGCCAGACCTGCACCCCGATAGAAAATCCACTCTGGAATAACCCAGCCCAAACACAGCTGGCCCTGCAATGAATTTGTGTGTAGAAAGGCTCCTTGCTGCTGTCAGTGCTGCAGGAGATGAGATGTGTCCCCACAGTAATGAAGACAGACTCGTGTGAGTGGCTTATCTGCTTTCCGGGGAAGCTGTGCTTGGTTTGGTTGGGATGCCCAGCTGAGACCCTGTTTTATAACCTCCCTTAGAGCCAGCAGCTGCGAGACAGCTTTCTTAGTGCTCAGTTTCCAGCTCAAGTTTGTTACACAGTGGTTACTTTTTAAAAAGGCAAAGATCATGTAGATACTTGCGTCTGGCCATTCCTGTTCCAGGGCAAGTGTTTACATAAGCAGGAGGAGCCCTGGGATAGGACTGCCTTTGCAAAAGGCAAATGTGGGAGGATGAGCTGCTTGTTTTGTCATTGTAATAAAAATAAAATCCTAGTGGGTCACTAGGGTTTGGAATCTCTCTTGCCTCCCTAGGAAACCTAAGACAGGAATCTTGATGTTGAACATGGGAGGCCCGGAGCGGCTGGATGACGTCCACGATTTCCTGCTGCGTCTCTTCCTGGACAGAGATCTGATGACCCTTCCAGTTCAGAAGTGAGGAGCACTGGGATCTCCTGGGGTACAGGCGGTGCTGGGTGTTGCTGTAAATATCGAGCTCCTGTATTTATTTCTGTGGAGAGCAGCACTCCCTAAGAGCGGTTCATCCTGGGGGCAGTCAGGGCAGGGACAGTGCTGGAGCCTCTGGGTCAGGCGTGCCGTGTTGCTCTCCTTTAGCTGCAGACCGAGCTCGGGGAAGGGTGGTGGAGTAGAGCATCACACGATTTGCAGGGATTGGCAGGGCCAGCCCGCGGAGCAGAGCTCTGGGGAGGCTGGCCTGGGCTGTGCTGATAACAGGTCCCTCTCCAACGCTGCAGTAAGCTGGCCCCGCTCATCGCCAAGCGCCGCACCCCGAAGATCCAGGAGCAGTACAGCAGGATCGGCGGCGGCTCCCCCATCAAGAAGTGGACGGCGGTGCAGGGAGAGGGCATGGTGAAGCTGCTGGACAGCATGTCTCCTCGCACTGGTACTGCTCTGCTCAGCCTCCACCGCCTGCTTTCGCTCTCTGCCTTGGAGCCGTGTGCTGGCACGGCGGCTTTGGCTGCTCGGTGCAACTGAGCCTGAGGAAGCCTGCCCTGAAGAGAGGTGGCTGAGGCTTAGAGGGGAAGAAAGGGGGATGGAGTTCATGTGAAGCACTAAGGCAGGTTTGGGAGGGGGGTTCAGAGTGCTGTTCTCAGCAGCTGCTGCAGGGCTGAAAGAGAACAGCTGGAGAAAAGACAAGGCTTTGTAGATGAGCAGTGCAGGGCACGGCTGAGCGATAGCAGCGAGCCCCACCCGGGGACACAGCAGGAGATAAGGCTGGGCTGGCGTGGAAGGAGATGCTCTCTTTGCCAGTCCTTCATGATGGGAAAACTTCCAGCATGAATACAACCTCCCTTCCCCGTCTCTGTGTCACAGAATCTCTCCCAGCAGGGAGTGCTGACTGGCAGGGGGTGGCCTGTGCCACTCTGCCTGGTAGCATCACTGTGGTGGCAAAGGGGTGCAGATGTTTCTGTGGCTGTCCTTTCATACAGAGCTATTGTGTAGCTCTTTGTGGCACTGGCCTTGGGCTTGGCTAGAAAAGGGCTAGAGGAAAAGGACTGCCAAAAGGGTCTGGAAGGTTAAAAACAATGTTCTTGGAAGGCTAGAAGCAAATTTATTTCATCCATTCAGAATGTGGTGTGTCACTGGTGCCTGCTCAGGTGATGTTGAGTCCCTTCTGCACAGATGTGACTCCCTGGCTTTGTTGGAGCTGTGGTCCCTGCAGGTGCAGTCAGAGCCTGAGGCCTGCTGTGTCATCCGAGGCAGGAGTGTTCCTGGAGCAGGAGCCCTGAAGGGTCAGCCTGGCAGCAGGCTCTGCAGATAAAGGCTTGGAAGGTTTATCTGCTTTTCCCAGTGTCCCACTCCCGCTTGCTTTTCTTTGGTCACCACTCTCTGTGCAGTCACACCCTTCTCTGGGCACCTCTCCCACCTGATAACTCCTTTGGAGGATTATTTTACTTGACAGCAGCTGCAGTTTAACAATAGAATGTGCTGAGCACTGCCAGCCACTTCCTGCAGCACCCCAAGAGACCGTGCAGAGCACTGTGTTCCTTCAGAACGGCTTGGAGCACTTGGATGTGCTTGCAGACAGCATTTGGGAATGTGGTGTGCTCACTTTGGGAGTGCTGAGCCCTAGGAATGAGTAACTGGCAGGAGCTGCTGGCACAGTGTGAAATGTGGCAAAAAGAAATAGTTTTAGGGTCATTTTACCTTGATCTGGTCTGGGCATCAAGTGAAGCTTCAGTGTGTCAGCAGCAGTGCTCTCATCCTAAATCCAGACCCAGCTCTGTACCAGCTGCTGGGAGGGGAGCTGACTGTCCAAGCCAAGAGCAGGGCAGGGTGTCACTGTTATTTAAACAGCCTGTGTACAGACAGCAGCACCTCTCTTTGCTGCCCGTGGTCCTGAACAGAACCTGGCACCGAGGGTATTGCTTCCAGGCTGGTTGTGTTCTTCCCAGAATGTCCTTGCCCAGGTTAAACTCCTCCAGTCCCCGCTGTGGTTGGTCAGACTTGTGTCCTTAATGCCATTCCAAGATGTTAATGAGGTTACTGGCTCAAGGGCTCCTGAAGCTGGCTCTTTATTTGCTGCTGCTCCCAGCTGGGAGCTCTCCTGCCTCCTGCAGAGAGCTGGGGCTGGCTAAACCTGTTTTCTGAATCCTGCATAAATGTACAGAGTGGAGCCAAGCATGGGACATCTGCTTCCTTCAGAAACCTGCTAAATGTTGTTTCAGAGCCACTGACCCGGAAACCCTGAAAAAGAAACTTTGCTTTTGTTCTCCTAAGAACCTCTGTCCTCCAGTTAAAAAAAAAACAAACCAGCAAACCTCCCCTGCCTGCTTCCCGTCCCCTAAGCAAGCCATGCTCCCAAAGCTGGCACCCGAAAGAGTAGAGCTAAAAGCCCTCCAAAGTCAGGATGGGAGAGCACGTGTCCCTGCTTCATGGCTCTGTCCAGGCTGGGAACTGTGCCTCTGCTAAACGCAGGAGAAGCAGGCAAGTGATGTCCCTGCAGAAGCAAACCATAACATAAATCACTTTTCAATTCCGATCACATCCAAGTGAGGTACCAGAAATGTTCTCGGCCAAAGCAAGGGCTTTACAAAAGCAACCAGAAAACGCTCAGCAAGTTTATTTCAGCAGTTTCAGCCTGGCTGTTCTTGTCTGTTTTCCACGTCACCACGTGCTGCTGCGGACTCTCCTGTTTCCTGGCACCCCTGTCCCTGCTGGCTGGCAGCTCCTCACAAGTACTACATCGGGTTCCGCTACGTGCACCCGCTGACCGAGGAGGCCGTGGAGGAGATGGAGAGGGACGGCGTGCAGAGAGCCGTCGCCTTCACCCAGTACCCCCAGTACAGCTGCTCCACCACGGGTGAGCTCTGGCCGGGGCTCGGGGGCTGTGCTCCATCAGGCTGCTGGGGTGCAGTCGTTCCCGCTGGCTCTGATTGTTGTGTTTTCATGATGTGACATTTTAAAATGTGATCGTAGCTTGCTGCCGAGCTGTTCCAGCCTGACAGCTTGCTGCTGGCCTGGCTGAAGTTGTGGTGTTAATTCTCTGTTTCAGGGAGCAGTTTAAATGCCATTTATCGCTACTATAACCAGAAAGGGGAGAAGCCAAAGATGAAGTGGAGCATCATTGACCGATGGCCCACACATCCCCTGCTCATTCAGGTGTGCATCTGAAGGCTTTGAGGTTTAGACGTTTTCTTTTAAGATACAGAAGAAAATACTGAGAAAGGACAACAGGAAGGCTTCAATCTGAGGGTGCATTTCAGTTGTGTGATGAATGGGTCTTGCCTACCATGTCTGAAATGACATACTGAGGGAATTTGGGAGCTCTGACACAGGAGCTGCCTGTCTGCACCCCTGAGAGCCTCCGGTGTTCCCCACTCAGGCCTTTGTTTGTGTCTCCCCGTGCAGTGCTTTGCTGATCACATCCAGAAGGAGCTGAACCTGTTCCCCCCGGACAAAAGGAAAGAGGTGGTCATCCTCTTCTCAGCCCACTCGCTGCCCATGTCTGTGAGTTCCCTCGGGGCAGGGTGTGGGCACACAGCTGTGCAAGGGCCGGTCTGCTCCCTTGCACACTCCCAGAGTGTTCCCTGGTGCCAAAGGTGTGCTGTGTTTATGGTGCAGGTGGTGAACCGCGGGGATCCCTACCCTCAGGAAGTGGGAGCCACTGTGCAGAGGGTCATGGAGAAGCTCAACTACTCCAACCCTTACAGGCTGGTGTGGCAGTCCAAGGTATGTGCTCGGGGGAGCTGAGCAGGTACAGCCTGTGCAGGGTGTTGCTGGACTGAAAAAACACACCTTTACTTACATTTTTGGTTGTTTTCTTCAGTCTTGTTCAGGCCGGCCCAGGTTCTGTTCCTGTGAGATGGAATGGTGGGAAGTGTGTCTGCATTAAACATTCAATGCAGAAAGGGAGAAGTACAACCAGAAGCAGGGAAATAAAAATAACTGTTTCCATCCCATCCATAACCTGCTCTGTCATCCTGCCTAAGGAAATGTGGGTGCTCTTTGTAAGAGTGATTTAATGAGTGATTTCCCTTTCTTCCTGCTTTTTTGTTGCAGGTTGGACCAATGCCCTGGCTTGGTCCCCAGACAGACGAGACCATTAAAGGCCTGTGCCAGCGAGGGAAGAAGAACATGCTGCTGGTCCCAATAGCCTTTACCAGTGACCACATTGAGACACTGTATGAGCTGGACATCGAGTATGCCCAGGTTTTGGCCAACGAGGTGAATGCTCTGTGGGTTTGGGTAGTGCTGCTCTGAAATTATTTCTCCTGGCTTGCAATTTGCTTTGTAGTTGCTTCTTGCAATATTATTTGGGATTAGCTTTAATTTCCTGTAATCAGAAATTCATCTGAACCGGCTTAATCACAAAACAGGTGGGAGTTTGTCTTTGTAGATTTAGGTGTTTAAACCATTACAAGTATTGCTCAAAGACAATGAATGATTTTTGGCAGCAAAGTGTGGTGTTGCCCCTGCTAATTTTTGCTGTACTGAAAACCGTGATGCTGCATTTAATCCTGTCATTTGGGTGGCTTCTGACTGAAGTGGGAAGATTTTGAAGGCTACCCAGTGAAGGATCAGATTAGCAGGTTTAACTTTTTCCTCCTTATTTTTGATTCAGTGTGGAGTTGAAAACATCAGAAGAGCGGAGTCTCTCAACGGAAATCCGCTGTTCTCCAAGGTATCCGCCGTACAGGTTTGCAGTTGTGCTTCCTGCTGAGTGTGGGTGTTTTCAGGTGGTTTTAAGGTGTTTTCAGAGTTGTTTCAGAGCAGCAATGGAGCCCCTTGTGCTGACCTGCCAGCAGGGAGGGTTCACGGTGCCGCACTTGGCGTGGCTTTGGGCTGGGGGGGTGGCACGGCTGCGTTTGCTCCCTCTGACCTTTCCCCCCTCCCCGCAGGCCCTGGCAGACCTGGTGTGCTCCCACCTGCAGTCCAACGAGGTGTGCTCCCGCCAGCTGACCCTGTGCTGCCCTCTCTGCGTCAACCCCGTGTGCAGGGAGACCAAGGCGTTCTTCAGCAGCCAGCCCCTGTGAGCCGCGCCCCCGAGCAGCCGGGCTGGGGCCGCCCCTTGCGGGGAGCTCTCTGATGTGTGCTTGGAGAAGAGTGGCAGGAGGTAGGGAGGTATTTATCCTGGCAGGAGAGAGGAGATCTCGTGTCGTCCGGCCCCGGCAGGACTCGCTGAAAAACCTTTTTATACAATTGGCTTCTGTTTCTATGCAGGGATTTACTCGTGTGCAGGGTGGGCACGAGTCATTAACTTGCCAGGTCGAAGGTACACTTAGTTTGGTTTTGCTTAAGGTGCAGTCTGAGCAGCACAGTCTGTTGTCTGTTCTGCAGCTGGCTTTGGAGACTTTGGAGATCAAGTTCCTTCTAATGCTTTTTAATAAGGTGTGTATGTATATTTTATTTTTTAATTTTTTATTTTTTTTAGAGCATGAGATAAGGCTTTGTTTTGGTTTGGTTTTCTCCTGCCGGAAACTTCCCGTGAAAGCTTAGCTGGGATAGTAGAACGCACAAAACTTGTTTACATTTTCTAGGAAAAACATTTTCATTATCTGCAGAAAATGATTTGAAGAGTATAAATTGAAAGGAATTAGCCTGCTTGGGTAATACTGGAAAACTGCGAGTTTCAAGTCTAGCAGGAGCATGTGTGGAAACACGTTGGTGTATCTGTTAAGCAGAATGGCTTTTAAAATTCTTCTTATTTTTATTAAAAAAGGGCTTTTTCTGTTCGGTGAAGTAAATTTAGGAAGTCAGGCTTGTTCTCCAGGAGGTTTATAGATCCACTCTGTGCTTTCTACTGTGCCACAGTACTGTGGCTTTGTGGGATACCTGTGGAGTGCCACAGGTAGGATTGATCTGGCTTCATTGCTGTTACTGAAACAGGAGCTGATCAGTCAGGAGTCATTCAGAGCTTCACATGCCAGGGGCTGGGGCTCTCCTGAGAGGCTGCCAGCCCACAGCAGGGACAGCTGGCACTGGCAGTGCCCCGGGGCACAGGGTCCCCTCCTGCCTGCCTGCGAAGCTGTGACAGCGGCACCGAGCCCTGCGGGTGACAGCCCCGCTGGCACCTCCTCGGCCACGCGTTTACTTGATGTCCTTAGCACTGAAATGCCAGGAGCTGGGCACTGCAGGCTGCTTCCTGGGAATTGCTGGTGGCCGCTCAGCCAGGTTGATCTGCTCAGGTAACCGTGAGGCAGCAGCAGTTTGGACCTCTGGTCTTTAGAGAGAGTGTGTTTAAAGAGAGAAGAGGCCTCTTGTGGTGTATCAGGGGTTTGTCCCGTTCTGTTTTGTTGTTGGAATTGAGGATGGGGTGCTGAAGGAACGGATGGATCCCGTGCTGAGCACCTGTGCAGTGCTGTAAATCCCCAGTACCTGTGGAGAGCTGCTTGCTCCATTTTCATACCTGCTTCCCAGGGTGAGACAGACTGAGATTCCTTCAGTGCCAGAGCCTCCTGCACTGAACCCCCTGTTCCCCTCAGAAAGAAGTCTTCCTTGGCCCTTCATGCCTGTGCCTGTTCCAGTGGCAGGGAGCCAGGAGCTCCCTTCTCCCTCCTCTCCCTCTCCCTGGGCTCTGCTCGCTGCCTGGGCAGGAAAAAGGAGCACAAATGTCCAGGATGTCTGGGAACACTGGCCTTACATCTCTCCTTGGACAAAGAACTTTCTCTGTTTCACTTCTCTGCGTGACACTTTGGGATCAGTGGAAAACAATCTGCTCTGTCCAATCTTCCTGCCCACCCCTGTTTGCTCACAGCTGGAGGCAATGTGGACCTTCCAGTGGTCCAGGCTGGGACCACCACATTTACAAGTGTGGCAAGCAAAGGTTAACATCACATGAACCTTGTGGTATTATAAATACAGATGGCTTTTCATTTTCATACTGGAGAGAGTCTTGAAAATACTAGCTGGCACTGATTCTGAGGCATTACATTTGTCCTCAGTAATAAAAGGTACTTAAAATTCACTTTTGAGTGTTCTAACCACAAGCGGGATAATTACTCTGTTGCTGCTATTAGAAAATCGTGTAGAAATCACTTCATTTTCCAGCTTTTAGCAGATGGAGCCTGTCTCACAGAGCTGGTGCTGCTGTGTGCTGGCAGGGGCTAGTTTTCATCAAGGTTTCTGAGGAGTTCCTCACCTCCCAGGCCAGTGCCCGGCGGGTTGGGTGAGATGAATCCGTGGTGCCTGTGCCTTGCTGAGCCCTCCTCGGTGCTGTGTCCCGCTGAGTTTGCAGCTCGCCCTGCCCTGCAGGGGCACTTTGGGGCTGGCAGAGGTCTCTGATCTGCCCTCCAGAGCTCCCAGCACTGTGGGGCCTCGACTGGAAATTGAGGAGTTAGGAACGGCCCGTGGTGTCCCGAGGGAAGAAATGGGAAGTAAAGGGGTGAGCTTGTTTTCCTGCTTTAACACTCTGCAGTTTGGCTTGTGTTTTCATGATTGAGTGAATTTTGGAGTTTCTTTTTAAGCTGTCTGTCGGTCCTCGCTGCATTTCAGAGAAGGTGGGAGCTTCCAGAAGGTGCTGTGACACCGAGGGGGGGTGGGTGGTGTGGGAGCTGGCCTCCTGCCATCCCCTGAGGAGGAGGATGGCACAGCTGAGTTCAGGGGGGCCAGGGTTTCCCCAGGAGTACCCAAAAGCTCAGTGAATTCTCCCTTCTGCCGTGCCCAGACAGCTGGGGATCCCCAAGACAGAGCAGCTCCCTTGGTTTTGTTCATGCCACATGTGTACAGATCCTTGCTTTTAGCCCAACACATGCATTTCACATTGACCAAGGACTTCCATTTGATGTAACACAGCAAATTTGGCTGCTCCTACTGTGTGTCATTTGCCATAAGGATGGAATTCCCATTAAAGTTCTTTCGAGGAAACAGCTGAGCTGTGTGTCTTTGTGAGAGCCCTTTGTGCTGGTGTTTGAAGCTCTCTCTGCACCTCTGGTGCCAGGCTGGGGTGGGTCACACCCCTGAAAAGACTGGAGAAGGCAGCAAGTTGGGGATTTGCCCTGGTGTGGGGTCCCACCTGCGATGGATAATTTATTCTGTTCCCTCTTAGCGGTCTCTGGGCAGCTCCTTGCTGTGTTACTAATTAAGTGCTCGATTGATTATTTTCTAGAGCAGGGATTGGAGATGTTGGATGCTTAAGCTGATCCATTAGTGAGCTCTTGTGACTGGGAGAGAGCAGGATGCAAACCCAACACAATGGAAGGTGGGAAATAGGGAGGAGAGCAGCCATGGTGCTTCTTTCCTCCTGGAATCTCAGGCCAAGCTCTGCTGTGTTCCCTTTGAGTGGGGATTTGGCTGTGTGAGCCTGGCAGAACTTTGGCAATGTCGTGTTTGAATCCAAAACAGTCTCTGACACTGTGGAAGCACTTTTCCTTCCCTCCCTATTTCTCAAGGGCTTGCTCTCCGCCTGCTTTCCTGCTTGGCTGTGTTTTTTTCACCTTTCCAGGAGCAAATTCCCGAGCGGGTTTGGGCTGTGCTGCGTCTCTCGTGCTCTGTGGAAGTCCTTGTCTCCAGCAGCACAGCCTGGACGAGGGATTTAGTTGTCAATCAGCATTTCAAGCCCTCAGGAGCAGGTTCTACTTCTGCCTGTAGAGCACAGGGATTTGCAGATTTGCACCAGCTCTAAAACCTGCCTTTTGTTTTCCTGCTAAATCTGTGCTCAGCAGTGCCAGGAAAAGGTTCTTTAATTTGAGCCCATTGGCCTGGCTGACGAGCATCCTTCCCGTGCCTGTGTGGAGATGGATTGTCTCTCCAGAGGGGGGTGATCTCCAGCACACACGGCCTTTGCTCCGCTGCCAGCTGAGCCCCGAAGGCCACAGAGAGGGGACAAAGGGCTGCGTGCCATCCCTGGAGCTGTGCAGGAGTAGGCTGGCAGCGCTGCTCTGCTGGAAGCTGTCCCTGCCCTTGGCATGCCTTTAAGCTCCCTTCCAGCCCGGACGGATTGCAGATGATTCTGTGAGTCTCTGGAGGTGCTGGCTGTGACCCCGTGGCTCCCGGGGCAGGGATGGGCACTGCAGACCCGGAGCCTGGCAGTTCCCGGAATGACGGACAGGGAGCTGTCACGGGAATCCTGCATTCTCCTGCCCTTTTTAAGGATGATCCATAACGTGTGAACATCACCCGCAATTGAGGCCTAATTGCGTTTCTGCAGCGAGCAGGGGCATTTCCAAGGAAGCTTAAACGAGCACTTAAGGGATGATGTGAGGAGTCCGGGGGGGGCCGGGCTCCTCACAGCCAACTCCCCCAGCGCTTTTATCCCGTGTTACTGGGCCATTACGCCTGTCTTTTACTGCCTTGGACTGCTTGTGCTGCCAGGCGGGAGGTGTAACATGACCCAAAGTGGTCTTGTATGTTTTAATCTGCTGGGTTAATATCTTATGGCTTCCTGCCATCATCCCTTTCTGAGCCGGAGCCCGGAGTCACTCCTGGAGGTTTGTGTGCCAAAGGCTGGGTGCAGAGCTGCCCTCGGCTTCTCTGTGTGCCTGGGCATTGGTGACAGCCGTTCCCGCGGTGGTATCCTGCCACGCTGCCTGTTCCAAGGTGGTTTTTTTGTCCTGGTTGTTTTCCTTCAGCGCCTCCATCCCACACGTGCTGAAAATCAGTGGCATCGCAAAAGCTCCAGAAGAAACCCGCTTCCCTCGCCCTGACTCGCTTTCCCTGCAGGCTGTTTCCCGAGGGAATTCCCGCAGGGTTTCAAGTGCTGTGGAGTGTTTGGATCAGAAGAGCTGCCAGCGCTTCATCTGCAGCCGGGCGGGTCCCACGTGGCAGCTCATTACTGCTCATCTCAGTGACAGATGCACTGCCCGAGGAGCAGGATGGCAGCAGGGGGCTTTACGGCGCTTTTTACTGGGAATTCGGCAGGGTTAGGAAACGCTGAGTTGAGGGGATCCGCAGGAACGAGCTGGCCCTGGACCCGAGCGGCTGCAGTCCCACCTCACACCCAGCCCATCCTTCAGCTTCGGGCAGCTTAATGAAACGGTCCCATTTCCCTCTCCCAGCTGTGCCCGCTGCTAAGTGCCTGCAAAGCGCATCCCCGGGGGAGCAATCGTGCGGGCCAGATGGAAATGACCTGCCAGCTGCATTAGTCTCGGTGTCAGCCCTCTCTCCTCTCTGCTGTTAGAGGTTTTTATCCGCAGCTCTGGGGCTGGGACACGGTGCTAGGGGGGCTCTGGGGTCCCCCCGTGCCTTGCCCAGGCTGACCCTGCTCCAGGTGCTCAGAGGAGGGCAAGACAGGGCTGCTTTGGTTTGGTTTTCAAAGACAGAAATACAACAAAGTGCTTTTCTTGTGCACTTTGTTTGGGTTTTTTTTGAGGAAACAAAACAAACAAGATTTGTCCACAGCTAGGGTAAGTGACTGACTGAATGAATGAATGAATGAATGAAGGCAAACCTGCTACATCCTCCTTGCCATGGAATTTCAGCTCCAGGAACCTCCTGCCTCCTCCTGTAGAGCTGCTTCAGGGAAAGAAAGTGCAATAACTAACATAAAAGTACATTGCATCACATAATTCCATGCCTTACATAAAGATAAAGTGATTTCTCCTGCAATATCGCAGGCTGTGCTCCTGGGAGAAGGTGCCAGATCCTTTCCCAAGTCCTGCTGCTCATGCTTGGCCAGGCCCTCGGTCGCAGGTGGCGTTTTTGGGATGTGGGGCCTGCGTTAGCGTGGCTGTGCTCAGCTCTGCTCACCCCTCCCTGTCCCTGAGAGCTGCAGCAGCCCGAGCCCTGCTTGGCTCCACTGCACCCCTGGGTGTGGGATGGAAAAAACCCTGGGGAAAAAATCAGAAACTTTGGATCGCACAAGGAAGCGAAAGCATTGTTTTCCTCCTTTATTGAACTTTGGCAAATAATATGTGTGTGTGGGTTTTACATCAATAGCTATAAATAAAACTTTGAAAGCAACGTAATACTTGTCATTGAGATAAAGGACATCTATTGGCACAAATCAGTGAGTAAAAACCCTTTAATGATAAAATAACATTCACTCTTTAGCTACTTTATTTGTCTGAAAAACTCAGCTGACACTCAGTTCCACATACCACCTTCCACAAAGTTTAAAAAATGACATAAAATGACATAATAAAATAGACCTTAAATTTCATAACCCGAGTACCTTGGCAAATTGCAGCCAGCTGGAGCAGCTGGTGGCAGCCCCGCTGTGCCCTTGCCATGGCCTCACATGCCCCTTGTGGCCTCTGGGCTGAGGAATGCAGGTGGACTCGGTGCCTGGCTCACAGCTGTCGCTGAGGAGTGGTGGCATCCCGCTCTGCTTATTGCGGAAGAAAAAAAGCTTTCTGGAAGATTAACCACTGTTACAATCATCAACTGTCTTACAAAAACCCCTGCTTCAAGTTCTTGTGTCTTTGGCAGAGAAATCGGGAGAGAAAAGAACCCAACTGTATCGCACGGCTTTCGCTGTTACCACAACCGACCGAGTGAGGGCAAATAACAACTCGGTCTCCTTGCACTAACGAGGGCACATCTCTAATGTACCCTTGGTGACAGACAGGTGATGACAGGAGCCTGCCACTGTCCCCTGCCCAGGCCTGCCTCTCCACGCGGAGCGCAGGGTGCGGAGCGGTCGCTTTGGCTTTGCGTCCAGGGATCGGGGCACGTGGGGCTCTGAAGCTGGGCCCGGAGAGAAAACAAACCCATCCTCAAACAAGGGTGAATCTGGACAAACCAAAAAGGGATAAAGCACCTTAACAAAGCTGGCCCCGGGGCAGGGGGCGGGCAAGGGGCTGCAGGAGCAGCACAGGACACAGCTGAGCTGGCGTGCGATGGGTGACACGGCTCACACGCGTGTCCTGCTCACCCTGAGCGCCCACCGGGCCCGGCCTCGCGTGTCCTGCTCACCCTGAGCACCCACCCGGCCCGGCCTCGCGTGTCCTGCTCACCCTGAGCACCCACCCCGGCCCGTCCTGCCGTGCCCAGGGGCTGCCAGAAAGCCAAAGGAGCTCCCGACCCTGGGAACAAACGCGGGGCAGCCTCCGCCGGGAGCAGGACGCGTGCGGGAACTGAAGGGATGGAATCGCCACTTGGCCAAACTCCTCCTCAAATGGCAATTTCATCGGAGTTGAATTTGGGTCTGTCGAACACGGGGACGGCCAGAGCTGGTCTGGACACGGGCCCCGAGCGGCGCTGGGCGTGATTTCACGGCGTAAATGCAAACACGAGCGCGAACAGCTAACAGGCTCCATGCACAAATAAACACCACCAAGCCAAAGAGCTCGTCCCAAACCCAAAGGAAGAAGTTGCCATTAAGAACCACGATGCATCACACTGCTAAGGGTTTGCCTCATGCATAAACATGGGAGCGCTGATTGGCAGTTGCTAATTATAATACTACACCGTCACACAGGACAATCAGCTCTTCAGACCGAGTAGCACAAATGTAGAAAATAAGTTTTTTCTTTTTTTTTTTCTTTTTTTTTTTCTTTTTTTTTTTCCTCCAACAGAGCAAATGAACACAGATTGTTTCTTCAGCAAAATATGAAACTGTAAACTTTGGGCTCATTCTGCAACTTTTCCCCCATCCATAACAACAAAAAAAAACCCCAATGGGAAGAAAGACTGACGTACATTTTTAAGCGCACCTTCTCCTTCTAGTACAAAAGCACAACCTAAAACATATAAAGCTTCTTCTTCTGGTTTTTTTTTTTTTTTTTGGTTTTTTTTTTTTCCTTTTAAATCACAGTTACCAAAAAGAAACAGTGAATAATTTCTTACATACGCTATAATAACATTACTCTAAACAGCTATTCTCTATGAGGTATATCTGAGAAAATTCGGTAAGGGATTGCACGGTCTGCGTTGCCAACGTGCCCAGTTCGTAATAAAGCTTTGGAACCATGGAGAGAGAGAGAGAT